AGTTTAGGTTTTTATCAAAATAAAACTTTATTGAAATAATTTTAATAATTATTTATCATTTAGAAACCGGGGAAATCAATGAGTCCATGTTTGAAAAGATTTATCCTTTATCTTATACATCATATAAATATAAACATATATCTTCAGGACATGTGTATAACATATATAAAATAAATATACCAGGTTAGAATAGAAATTACAAAACAATTATCTACATGTTATAATTATATGTTATATATTTAATCATATTCTATACCTCTATATATAGCTTCTGTTAAAAAAATGAATGAATTAGTTGTTCGCGTAAACAAAATATTTGACACGAATTCGAATATTTCTGCCGAATATTACAATTTCTGGATTCAAAATAATAAAGCATTCATTCAAAGTGAATATAGTCCATTAGATTTATGGCATTTAATTTACTTTAAAAATGAAATTTTCATAAAACATACCTCAGTTGACATGATTTGTATTGATTTCTACATATCGTGTGAATTAATATTAGAACTCTTGCAATGTCTTTATTATTATCAGCAAATGTGGGGAATATTAGACAAATGGTATATATGCGATGATTATATGCTAATAGATACTGATATGAAGTATGATAGATGTATCAGGGTATACCAGCACACATTCAATGCTTCAAAAACAAGTTATAATTGTTATTATAGTTATTACCGGCGTACAATTTTTGATATTTTTCGCCCAGTTATTAAAATGTAAGTATAAATTTCTTAAATAAATATAAATTCTAACATAATATTATATCATTTAGGGACAATATACCGACTGACCAGGGTATACAAACTTATAGAATTAAAGAGTATTTAAATGATAAATATTTAAATAAAACAATCCCATCGGTCGAGGATATGGTCAATGAATTCAACGACATTTTCGCGCATAATATCCGTATAACCGATGAAATGATTTCCACATTTCAAACACCCATTCAATCCATGTATTCACGAAAATTTGATTTCAATTTCTTCTATAAATACTTATTAATGAAAACCAATTCAACAAACAATTCATCAAAAGATTTGAGTCCAACGGCTCCGGAAGTCAACCGAAACATACCTGAAAAGCTGTGGATGAGAGTCAGACCCTTAATACAGGCCGTACTCAACCAGAAATAGATTGAACTCAACTCACACTCGACAGCATTAAACTCCACATCACTTCGTAGAGTAGGTCCACAATTGGATGCGCGGCGTCCTTACCCTTCATAGAGCACCGGTCGTCGGCCAAGCAGTCTATGAACCCCTGCGGACTCCCGCCTTTCATAACCCATTCAGCGCATCGGACATTACATTTATTTGATTATTAATACGTATTTAACATAAACTCATAATAACTGGAATAATAATTGTTGTTATTATAATGTCCTCCGAGGTGTTTGGATGTAGTTGTGGTGATCACGAGTTTATTAACCAAAAGAACTGCTATTCGAAGGCTTTGCACAATAGCCTAACTTCTGGTACCAATTGTTTAGCACTTCTGGATGTGAATGAGTGCTGCCTTCTGATGACAAATGATTGACTGTCGGGACGGCAACGGACCCTCGCTTAATATAAATGACCAGTGATTTGATGGTAAGGGGTGTTGAGATCACTGACCAATTTCCCGACAATAGTTGTGTTCAAAGTACTGCTTTGGAGCGATGGGAAAGCCTACAGCGAGCACCAGTATGTTGTGTGCTAATGGGTTGCCAAAGCACTGCTCTCTGGTGACAGGTTGAGTAGAGACGTCTACTGCCTGTCCTGACTCTTACCGATTGATACCGTCGATAGCGACCAGTATCGGGATCTGTCGACCAACCTCTCCCGTCCTATGTTTATTTCAAAGGGTAAGGTAAGAGTGAGTATAAAAAGGCTTTTTGGAGGAAAAGGAAATACATTTTATAGCTATTGAGTTTGCGTTTAAGTATGTGTTTGAGTTAAAAGTCTATTTTATAATTTAGTCATACAGTACAGTATATTAAAGTATTGAAAATAAAGAGTCATTGCTAATAAATTAACAAATAAAACTATTGCAAATCATTTCAAAATAAGAGTCTAAGCGTAAAATATGAATTTACGATATGAGCTGGGAACAATCATAGTAACGTTAGCTTTTTTATATTTATTATATCTAATTATTAATTTTATCCAAAAGTCAATTATTCATAAAATATACATAGGTTTAAGCTAAACNTTAATTTTATCCAAAAGTCAATTATTCATAAAATATACATAGGTTTAAGCTAAACGAGTAGTACTATGACTTATCAGGTTCAAATATTACTGCATTTTAAAGTATTAATAAAAATATCTAACGTTACTACGATTGTCCCCAGTTCATATATTCCTTTTCCAAAGAGTATTCTTTGAATAAACAAATAAAATTTTATAACTAAGAGTTTTTCACTTTATTTGAGTGATCAGTGAAAATGTATTCACAAAATCTTTGATTGTAAATAAATGTCACATTACTTGTTGTATAAAGTGTTTTATGGTTTATTAATTGTTATAAATTATAACTTATAATCCATGAATTTTTAAAAAAAAATAATTAGTCTGTTTTATTACAAGTATCATAAGTTTGAATCCAGTTCAAAAATTTCAACCTATGATTGAAACCCATTGAGTAAAAGTAGGTTAAAAATTATAAGCAAATGGATTATCCCATAAACTGATGACATCATAGCCAAGCACACAATACTGTTCACTGTTAATAGCGACGCATATTGTTCAGTAGTAGTCTATAAATAGTTGACAACAAAAATAGCAAACATTTTCATTAAATATAAAGTTATCATCACTTTAATGGTGCATAATAAAAAATTTTACATAAAAATTATATAAGGTTTTTTATTTTTAGTTTAAAATATTTAATGAATTTATAGCAGATGTGTCCAAACATTATTTATTGATGTTTTTTACATTTAACAATTTTAGAGTCAATCCTAATTAACGTTATATTATTGTAATATTTTTATAATCCCTTTCATTATTAGTAATTGTTAATTGCTACTCATACATGTGTTATGGTATTTGTGTATAACACAAGGGTATAACATATTGTTTGTGACATTTGATGATATGGTGTATGGATTGGGATCTAATTGTAGGGGTCAGCTCGGGTTAGGACACAACACACCCATTCATACACCACAACCAGTGCCACAATTATGTCATAAAAATATACATCAGTTTTTCAATGGATCAGACTTTGTATTGGCTGTCAATACGGATAATAATGTGATATTCAGTTTTGGTGGCAATCATCGTGGACAATTGGGACAGCATGTGGATAATGATTGGGATGCATACCATAAACCGGATACAATATTATATTTCCAGTCAAACAGTTTAATTATTTCACAAATAAGTTGTGGTAGTTATCACACAATTGTGTTGACATCAAATGGACAGGTATTCGGGTGGGGTAATAATATTTGGGGACAAATTGATTACAACCAGGGTATTATAACAAAGGCAATAACAAAACCTTTGGAAATTATATTCCCATTTGACTACAAAATTAATAAAATTAAATGTTATGACTTGACATCAATTGCCATTACAACGGAGGGTCAGGTGCTTGTGTGGGGAAATAAAAGTGATTTCAAAGAAATGGATAAAAATATCCTCGAAAATACATATAATATTAATAATATTTGCTTTAATTATGAGTTTGTGTATTTATTATCAAACGATGGATTCATATATTCATATGATTTTAGTAACAAACAAATTAAACCAATAAACTAAACAATTAACTTCAATGAAATCACACAATTATATTCATATATAAAACATAAATCAATAATAGCGGGGACATCTAATAATAAAATATATGAATTTAGTTCATCAGGAATAATGGAAACAAATTTTACAACATTTGATGATTTCTTTTCACATAAATTGCAAATTAGTTTTAATACAAATGCAACAAATAATCTACAAAATCATAAACAATTACTAATTACAAACCCACAAAATAATGGTATAAATATTTATAAATATTTATTTTATTGAAAAACTTTTGAAATATTATACATTGTTTATATTTTACGTTAATTGATTAAACTTATTAATTTAGATAACTACGATCATTCAAATAATTTAACGCTTGATAAAACATTTAAAAGAATCACTACAATTGGTCAGGATGCTTTTGGAAAAGTATATAAAGTTCGCCACAAGTATAACAATGAATTGTATGCTTTGAAGGAATGTGCATTAAATGGTAAATTTGTAAATTAATTAGATTTTTTAAATAATTACGTCAAATATATTAGCGCAATTTATGTAATACTATTGTGCCAGTGTAGATCACAACTTTGGTCTACATTAATACAGTGAAATAAAAAAATATTTAAATTTTATGTCAGAGTAGGCCTTTTAGGTCGTAGGCCTTTTGGGGTAGAATCCTGTATATAATCTCATTTTGATAACTTTATTTCAAAGATATTGATCTATTCAATAAAAATTTTTATCTACAAAATGAATATTTTAAAGAATATGGTTATAAATAATCTATTAACTTATAATTTACTCAAAATACTGCACAACAAAATACGTTGTCATATTTTTTAAAACAATGTTATTAATAAGAGATTATTCGTACGGTTTAGTGAAATAAAATGGGGAGCTTCACAAAATTGTTTATTAATTTTATAACCCAGGTTACTGCCTATTGTCTAGAATACTGCATGTGTCCCATAAACCTATATAATTTTATAATTATTTATAATTAATATAAATTTATAAATTGATTTTTCTAAAGGTTTATCAGACAAAGAGAGACGAAACGTTTTGAATGAAACCAAAAGCTTAATCAAAGTTCGTTCAGAGTTTGTGATTCAATACTACTATTCATGGATTGAATGCAATCGTCTTTACTTTCAAATGGAGTTATGTATAAATAATCTCAAGAAGTTTTTGGAAACTAGGAAATTATTTTTTAATGAATTGATGACTATTTCTGAGTTTTATATATCGTACCAAATGTTTCGTGAACTCACAGAATGTGTGCAATATTTGCACGAAAAGCATATCATTCACAGAGACCTCAAACCCGATAATGTGTTGATTTCAATGGACTATAAGATAAAGTTATGTGACTTTGGTTTGGCTAAAGAGTCCCAAATTGTGATCCGTTTCTTATGTCTAAAGCCAAACATACGGCAGATGCGGGAACTGTTGACTATATGGCACCGGAAGTCAATACATATCCAATTGAATACAACCATTTAATAGATATCTACAGTCTATCTCTAATTGGGTCTCAAATTTTTGGTTTCGATACAAACGATATAATTGAGGGAAAGTATGTTTGTATTAGAGAACTAATTTTAATAAATTAATTTTTATAATTTGTAAATAATTTCAACTTTTATAGAATCGGAAAATTTTCTGAGTTTTATATATCGTATCATATATTTCGTGAACTCACAAAATGTGTGCAATATTTGCACGAAAAGCATATCATTCACAGAGACCTCAAACCGGATAATGTGTTGATTTCAATGGACTATAGAATAAAGTTATGTGACTTTGGTTTGGCTAAAGAGGTCCTAAATTGTGATCCGTTTCTTATGTCTAAAGCTAACCATACGGCAGATGTGGGAACTGTTGACTGTATGGCACCGGAAGTAAATTCATATCCAATTGAATACAACCATTTGATAGATATCTACAGTCTATCCCTAATCGGGGCTAAAATTTTTGATTTCGATACACACGATATAATGGAGGGAAAGTATGTTTGTATTAGATAACTAATTTTAATAAATTAATTTTTATAATTTGTAAATAATTTCAACTTTTATAGAATCGGAAAATATAATATAAATATAAATAAATGGATGCATAAAATGAATGCATTATTGGTGTCAATGGCTGTCAATAAGTATCGCAAAAACGGTTCAACAGATTGGAGGCAAAGACCCGAATGTTCGCACATTTTATCACAATTGCAGACATTTATGACAAATAAACCAATTATTGGGGAAAATGAGTGGAAATTAATTACAACTAATATTAATGACAATACAATTTTGAAAATATTTCTGAGAAGTAAACCATTTTGTTTCAAACCAAGCAATAATCAGAAAACAGGTTTAGGTTTTTATAAAAATAAAACTATTGAAATAATTTTAATAATTATTTATCTTTTAGAAACAGGGGAAATCAATGAGTCCATGTTTGAAAAGATTTATACTTACTCTAATACACCATATAAATATAAACATATATCTTCAGGACATGTGTATAACATATATAAAATAAATATACCAGGTTAGAATAGAAGTTATATAACTATTATCAACATGTTATAATTATGTGTGTTATATATTTATCCCATGTTATTTATAAACATATATCTTCAGGACATGTGTATAACATATATAAAATAAATATACCAGGTTAGAATAGAAGTTATATAACTATTATCAACATGTTATAATTATGTGTGTTATATATTTATCCCATGTTATATATCTCTATATATAGCTACTGTTAAAGAAATGAATGAATTAATTGCTGATATAAACAAAATATTTGACACGAATTCACATATCTCTGCCGAATATTATAATTTTTGGATTAAAAATAATAATGCAATCATTCAAAGTGAATATAGTCCACTATATTTATGGAAGTTAATTGACATTAAAAATGAAATCTTCATACCCCAGACCTCCGATGACATGATTTGTATTGATTTCTACATATCTTGTGAATTAATACGAGAACTCTTGCAATGTCTTCATTATTATCAGCAAATGTGGGGAATATTAGACGAATGGTATATAAACGATGATTATATACTAGTTGACACTCATATGAAGTATAACAGATGTATCAGGGTATACACATACCGTGCTCCAAAGAGACTTTATTATTGTTATTATAGTTATTACCGGCGTATAATTTTTGATATTTTTCGTCCAGTAATTAAAATGTAAGTATACATTCATTAAATAAATATAATTTGTAACATAATATCATTTAGGGACAATATACCGATTGACCAGGGTATACAAACTCATAGAATTAATGAGTATTTAAATGATAAGGACTATCAAAATAAAACTATCCCTTCGGTCGAGAATATGGTGAATGAGTTTAACGACATTTTCGCGCATAATATCCGTATAACCGATGAAATGATTTCCACATTTCAAACACACATTCAATCCATGGATTCACAAGAATTTGATTTCAATTTCTTCTATAAATTCTTATTAATGAAAACCAATTCAACAAACAATTCATCAAAAGATTTGAGTCCAACGGCTCCTACAGTTATAATATCATTTGAAAAGTCATTTGACGTAATAACAAAGCTTGGTAAGGGTGGCTATGGAGAGGTATATAAAGTTCAAAATAAATGTAACCATGAATTATATGCAATAAAGAAATGTCTATTAAATGGTAAATTTATTTTATTATATTTGAAAAATTATGATCATTTTTATAATATTTGAATTTCTCTAAAGGATTGACAGAAAAAGAAAAACAAAATGTTTTGAATGAAACACAAAGTCTAATCAAAGTTCGGTCAAAGTTTGTGATTCAATACTACTATTCATGGATTGAATGCAATTGTCTTTACTTTCAAATGGAGTTATGTATCGATATACTACTATTAATGGATTGAATGCAATTGTCTTTACTTTCAAATGGAGTTATGTATCGATAATCTCAACAATGTTTTGGAAACTAAGAAATCATTGTTTACTGAATTGATGACAATTTCTGAGTTTTATATATCGTATCATATATTTCGTGAACTCACAAAATGTGTGCAATATTTGCATCAAAATCATATCATCCATAGAGACCTCAAACCGGATAATGTGTTGATTTCAATGGACGGACGCATAAAGTTATGTGACTTTGGTTTGACTAAAGAGGTCGATAGTATTGATTGGTATCGGATGTCAAAAGCAAAACATACGGCAGATGTGGGAAGTGTTAAATATATGGCACCGGAAGCCATGACTAATGAATACAACCATTTAATAGATATCTACAGTCTATCTCTAATTGGGGCTCAAATTTTTGGTTTCGATACTAACGATATAATTGACGGAAAGTATGTTTTCATTTTTATATAACTATTTAATCAAATTGACTATAATTTAATACAAATAATATATTTGGGAGTTTAGGATTAAAACAAACACAAAATATAATAAAGATATCAATGAATGGATGCATAACATGAATGCATTATTGGTGTCAATGAGTGTTAATAAGTATCGCAAAAATGGTTCAACAGATTGGAGGCAAAGACCCGAATGTTCGCACATTTTATCACANACAGATTGGAGGCAAAGACCCGAATGTTCGCACATTTTATCACAATTGCAGACATTTATGATAAATGAGCGCAACCTTAATGTTCAGGAAAAAGAATTCAAACTATTTTTTGAGAGTATAATCGAAAGACAATGTGATGTAATTTACAAATTATTTATGCATTACAGACCATTTTGTCAAATCCGTGTGTCAATCAATTCAACTGGTACGTTATATTTGGCATATATTATAATAATTTTAAAAATTGTCAATTCAGATATAAATTCAAACGAGTTTGAGGAGAAAATGGAGTCCATTTCGCATACCATTCCTCTATATAAAGCTAAACATAGATTATCTCAACAAATGTGTTCATTATTCAAAATACCAGTTCCAAGTATGCGTGATAATTGTTAAATGTGTTTAATCATCTATTTTATAAATAAATTCAACATTTAATTGATAGATGATATGATGGATATGAACGACCTATTGATTGACATAAGAGAGGCATTTGATATAAACACCGATTATTCGATTGAATGTTACAACTCATGGATTGATAATAACTATGTATTTATTCAAACGGAGTTGTGCTCACAATTCTTGTCGAATATTATTAGTGAGAAAAATGAAATTTTTGAAAATAAGAACTCTTTGGCAATTATTTCAATTGACTTTTTACTATCGTATGAATTACTTCGAGAACTATTACAATGTGTTCAGTATTTAAAAGAATCGGTCGATAAAGATATCAATTTTTGGGAATTAGGTTCCAAAAAAATATTGTTTACCAGTCATGAAAATAATGGGAAATGTATTAAACTTAACGTATTAAATTATTTTAATAATGTTGACGGCTATTATGATAACGCTAAAGAATTCATATCTCATCTATTTGAATCAATTGTGAACAGGTAGATTATGTTTTGAACATCTGAGAAAGCAATGCCAACAGTGGATCAGGAAAAATGTTTTAATTTGTAATTTTTCCTGATCCACTGTTGGCATTGCTTTCTCAGACATAATATTATTATATAAAATTCACATATTTTAATATTCTATCATTTAGGGAAAACTTTCCAACAAATCTGGGAATAGATTTAAATAAAATTAATGACTTTATTTCTTCGAAGAAAGACATGTCGGCACCCGATGTGTTGAATGAAATATTAGACATTTTCGCACATAATGTAAAAATCACAGATGAAATGATCATCACATTTCATAAACACATTCAATCAATGAATTCAAATAGATATTACTTCTTCAATGAATACTTATTAACGAAAACTATTTCTGTAATTAATACCAATAAATGGGAGACAGGATTGACACCAATAGTACAGACACCAAAACGTTAAGGACTTGTTAAATGTATCTTAGTTTTATCCAGTGGTTTTAATAATTTATGTACCTAGTTTAGAAGTATTTCATAATAAAATATATTATTTTTAATTACATGGTTTTGCATCTATTTACTAACATTGTAATAAGATACAATTAATTGTAATTTATTGATTTAGGTGATGTTTAATTTTCGACAATAAATGTCTATTGACTTAAAAAACTGTAATATTTGTGACACATTATTGCCAGATATAAAACAAAAAAATATATGCAATATAAAAGTAGAGTAAATTAGTGCAAAAGTAGTTTAATTTAATAGTTTATCAAAAATATAATCATAATTCAGATAAACCAATGCTTGGCAATAATCATTCACTTGTTTGTTTCAATAATACTGTCATGAACGTGTTTTATGTGAAAGTATTTACACTATAATAGTGTTGATATACTTTAGTGATAATAAAAGTATAACTATTCCTCCATTTTTGGAAATAATTATTTTAAATGTGTGTAAATTTATAAATTAAGTTGATTACTAATTTAAATATTTAGATACTTACCCATTCTATAGTCTAAGTATGCATCTTAATAATTCAAATTATAATTTATAACTATTTTAAAAGTTATTGATTAATATAAATATAATAATAATAAAAACATGTTTATGCCTTAAGTTAATACTTCAAAAATTTTGCGAATAAAACTTATTAATAATTGTCTAATATTTGTCTTAATTATGGCTTCCGTTATAAATAACTATAAAATTTGTGATCAAATACCTGAAAAATTAAAAAACGAAATCAAATATTTTTATGTTTTCGACGACCCTTCAGGATATAACATACTGTTTGTGACAACAAATCATTTGGTGTATGGGTTGGGAAGCAATAGCTCGGGTCAGCTCGGGTTAGGACACAACACACCCATTGAAACACCGGTGGAAGTGACAGATTTATGCAATAAAAATATACATCAGTTTTTCAATGGAAAAGACTTTGTATTGGCTTTCAATGCAAATAACAATAAGATATTTATTTGCGGACACAATAATAGGAGAGAGGGAAGGGATGTCGATAGAAATGGCAATTATAAACCGAAAAGTATCTCATATTTCAAATCAAAAAAGTTAATTATTTGGCAAATAAGTTGCGGTGAATATCACTCTATTGTGTTGACCACAAATGGACGGGTATTTGGATGGGGCAGTAATAGTACCGGACAACTCGGATGTCATAATATGAGATATATATCAAGTCCAGTTGAAATCAATACGCCTGTTGATTGTAAAATATGGAATATAAAGTGTTGCTTTAATACATCCCTGGCCATTACCAATGCTGGACAGGTGTTAAT